CCCCCCCCGACACACCTTTAGGGAACATACCCTCCCTACACACCCCATAAGGTTGCATCACACATAATTGATCTTAAGACACGATAAGAAGGAGGTTCTGAAGTGTCAAAGCATATTTAGCTGAGGGGATTACTGCAGATTTCATTGATAAGTTGGCACTTGAAATTGGCCTTGGAAGGTAAGAAGGTAGGGAAACAGAAATGGAAGAAGCGTGTTCAACCTGGAGAACAGGCACACATAATAATGGTTTCTCCACACTGCAGTAAGATTGCTCCATTTGGCTCCTTTCTCAAGTGGTCTCCCAAAAGTTCTTACCTGCCTCAACATACCCCTTCTTTATTAGCCTCCTTTGAGAGTAGAGATCGTTTTACTTGTCTTGGTAGTCCCACAGCTCATAATGAAGTGTTTTGTAAATAATAGGTATGGAATTTAAAAAATCTGGATGATAAAGATTTTACTTATTGGAAGATATGAGAGTTTGGATATTTCTGGATAGGTCACCTTAAGATCTTAAGAAAAGATAATATCTTTTCATGTAAACATTCCATGGTTCTACCATTCCATCTGGGCCAAAACACAGAACTGGATACATATGAAGAAAATGTTCTTGTTCTTGTGGATTAAATACTATTAAGAAATATTGCTATCTAGCCTGGCCAGGTGTGGCTCAGTGGTTGAGCATCAACCTAGGATCCAGGAGATTGCAGTTTGATTCCCAGTCAGGGCACATGCCTGGGTTGTGGGCTCCATCCCCAGCTGGGGGCATGCAGGAGGCAGCTGATCAATGACGACTCTCATCATTGATGTTTCTATCTCTCTCCCTCTCTCCCTTCCTTTCTGAAATCAATAAAGATATATTTAAAAAAAGAAGAAGAAAAAGGGCATATTGCTATCTAATCATTTAAAAACAACCTCACAATATACAGAACAAAATATACAGAGGAAAGAAACACATTAGCAACATCAGTAACAGTTGTGTTAGTATGGTAGCTTTACAGGTGATTTTTTTCCTATTTTCCATCTTTTTCAAACTTTCATATATATATATATGAAATATTTCATATATATGCACATATTTCACATGCACATATATGTATATATACATATATATATGAGCACATATTTCTTCATTTTGATAAAGGAGTCTAACAGCTACCTTTTTTTTAAAATCTTTATTGCTGAAGGTATTACAGGTGTCCCCTTTTTTCCCCCCAATGATCCCCTCCACCCTGCATCCGCCCCACCCGCAGGCCTTCCCCATACTATTTATGGTCTGTGCCCATGGGTTATGCATATATGCATAGAAGTTCTTTGATTATGCTCTCTCCCCCACTCCTCCCCCCACTCCCCCATTCCCGCCTTCCCTCTGAGATTCCTCAGTCTAACAACTACCTTTCTAGAGAATTAGCACAATGGAAGCTCCACATACATATATTGTTTTTTTCTTATTACAAATGTAATGCTTGATCATTGTAAAGTATCCCAAAATTGCAGAAATATATAATGTAGAAATTATAATATATAATGTAGAGAGCCCATGGATAGCACTGTAGTTCCAACATATATTTTATTTTATTTTATTTTATTTTATTTTATTTTATTTTATTTTTAAATATATATTTATTGATTTCAGAGAGAGGAAGGGAGAGGGAGAGAGAAAGATAGAAACATCAATGATGAGAGAGTCATTGATCGGCTGCCTCCTGCATGCCCCCCACTGGGGATGGAGCCCGCAACTCGGGCATGTGCCCTGCCCGGGAATCGAACCCCTATCGCCTGGATCCTAGGTCAACGCTCAATTGCTGAGCCACACCCGGCCGGGCCCAATATATATTTTAAATCTAAATTAATTCATAATACCACTATTAAATTTTGGTAACCTGACGAATTGACTTTTGAATTATAGGATATGCTCAGACTGGTCCATGCACCCTCTCCCTTGGAATGTGCTGGAAACACATTTTTTAAAAAACAAAACAAAACAAAACACCAATTTCTTAAATTTTTTTTTTTTAACCTAACACAAACTTTCTGTCATTACAATGTCACTTTACCTTGTCATCTCCCTAATGATTAAGGAAAAAGCAAGGGACTCTTTTCTGGACTTAATCCTAAACAAGAAATTTTTATCTTTAAAATAAAATAACTTTAGGAGAGTATTTTTTATTCTCTTTATTGTGTTCTTTTTGCACATATATTCCCCATTAGTTTACAGGCTTCATGAAGAAAGGGCCTAAGTCTTAGTTGTCTTCATATCTCCCAGAGCATTTACTACAGTGCCTTGCCCATAGAAAGCACCCAATAAATTATATTGACTGATAATTTGAAAGAAAAAGAAACCTAAAAGTTGAAAGCTGTTGGTTGTCAAAGAAGAAACAATGGGCTGAGTCAGATGAGTACTTTGTACTTTAGAAAAGTAGATATTAAGTCTCTAAAATTCATGGACAGGTAGAAAGCTGGGAATTCCACGTCATGAGTCTTTAAAAGAAAAGACAGCATTTAACACAGATGGGGGCACTGAGTGGGTTCTTAAATGTTTATGGATGAAAGAGTGAATGAATGAAGTAATTGATCAAAATAGCAAAATGGTAGGCTTTAAAAGCTAAGATGTCACAAGTGATATTGGTGACAAAAACGGATGGCATCTACAGAAATCCATGTGCCTACACACACACCCTGCACTCTCCTTCCAGGCTTAGTGCAGCTATCATATACTCTGAGGTATGTTTTCTGACTTTTACAGTCTGGGTTTGGTATCCCCACCTTTGTGCTCCTTGGTTACAGTAATCATTTCCATACCTTTGTTAGAATAGCTATTTTCAAAAAGATAAGAAATAACGTGTTGGAAAGGATATGGAGATAAGGAAATCCTTGTATACTGTTAATGAAAATGTAACTCAGTGTAGCCACTATGGGAGAAACTATGGAGGTTCCTCAAAAAATTAAAATAGAACTACCATTCGATCCAGAATTTTACTTCTGGATATTTATCTGAAGAAAATGAAAACACTAATTCTAAAAGATATGTGCATCCCCATGTTCACTGCAGCATTATTTATAATAGCCAATATGTGGAAATAACCTAAGTGTCCATCAATGGATGAATGGATAAACAAATTGTGTACATATACACATACACACAATGGAATATTATTCAGTCATAAAAACAAATAAAATCTTGTCATTTGTAACAACATGGATGGACCTCAAAGGCACTATGCTAAGTGAAATAAATCTGACAGAGCAAGACAAATACTGTATGCTTATGTGGAATCTAAAAAAACAAAACAAAAAACCAAGGTCATAGATACAGAGAACAGATTGTTGGTTGCCAGAGGCAGGAAGTGGGGGGATGGGTAGGAGAAATGGGTAAAGGGAGTCAAAAGGTAAAAATTTAAAAAAATAAAAATAAATAAATAAATAAATAAGGT